CCCAATCCACTCCCTCCTTACCACCCTTTGCTTTGACTCGTTTTTGGTTTGTCAAATCCTCCCAGATAAATGACAGTTGTCTCCAATATCCCGACATTTTTGGTTTGGTCAAATCCTCCCAGATAAATGACAGTTGTCTCCAATATCCCGACATTTTCCCTGGTGTAAGGCTTTATGTTTCAGTTTGTGTATTGGGTGGTTGGAGGGTGCCACTGGTGGAAGGTCCTACTTCTTGTCTTTCCCTCTTTAGTCTGTCTGTCTGTCTGTCTGTCTGTCTGTCTGTCGGTCTGTCTGTCTGTCTGTCTGTCTGTCTGTCTGTCTGTCTGTCTGTCTGTCAGTCTGTCTGTCGGTCTGTCTGTCTGTCTGTCTGTCTGTCTGTCTGTCTGTCTGTCTGTCTCTCTTTGTCCTGCACCAAATGGTGGTTATGTTAATGGCTTCTCTGTACTCCAACAACATTGTGTTGATGACAGATGGCACAAATTGGGTGGTTGGCAGGTGCTCTACTGTGGTTTGCTCCTTCTTTCCTCTCCAACATCTGTCACGTCCTTACCTGTCCTCCTTCTTTTGAATGTCTGTTATTCTCCAGTTGTAGCACCTCTAATCTTCAACACTTAATCTTGTATGACCATTTGTGTTGCTAGTGCCGTAAAACTCTTACTGAAACTGGAAAAGAAAAGTTAGTAAAATACAGTTGTTACAAAGATCCTTGCATTTCCTACTGTATGATTGAGGGCGCTGCGTTCTATGATCTGTGTCTATCTGTGTGTCTTTGTCTGTGTGTCAACACATCCAGGTACTACAAGAACGCACAGAGAACCTCATCAGACATTGCACAATGTGTGTCTGTCTGTGTGTTTGTCTGTGTGTCCAGGTACTACAAGAACGCACGGAGAATCTCATCAAACATTGCACGATGTGTGTCTATCTGTGTGTCTATCTGTGTGTTTGTCTGTGTGTCCAGGTACTACAAGAACGCACGGAGAACCTCATCAAACAGATCCAAGACCTGGAGTCCAAGGCCCAGAGCCTGCAGCTCACCATTGACCGACTCAACACCAACCTGGTCAAGACGGAGGAGGAGGGGCATCAGTCCAAGGACAAGGTCAGACACACACACACATGTACACACACACATGTACACACACATGTACACACACATGTACACACACATGTACACACACACACGTACACACACACATGTACACACACACATGTACACACACACGTACACACACATGTACACACAAAAGAACAGAAACTCTCATTGATTTCAAATGGTTGATAGAAAAACCACTTGCATTGTGAATGAATCTCTCTCTGGATTTTCAACGATTGTCGAATTTTGAACTCAACCCTTGAGTCATCAATCAACAAAATAGGGGCTGGAAGGGTTCAACAATTTCTTTCTTTGGGGATGGAAGGGTTCAACAATTTCTTTCTTTGGGGCTGGAAGGGTTCAACAATTTCTTTCTTTGGGGCTGGAAGGGTTCAACAATTTCTTTCTTTGGGGCTGGAAGGGTTCAACA